GCCCGTGACACGCCGTGCTCGCTGACAGCCCAAAAGGCTCGTACAGCTGTGGGCTGACCTGGTCACACACCCCAGCTCTGTTAAGGACAACTCCTCACCCTCGTATAAACCCTTCACTCAGAGGATCACAGAGCGCTTTGCAAATGCCTGCTTATTAATCCTCACCACGGTCCTGGGAAGAAATAAGAGACACAGGGGAATCACCTCATTTGCTATGGAGAGGGGGCGCTTTCTGGGGCGAAACTGAGGCATTTAACAGATGAGAACAGGGCTGTTCCAGCAGCGCACCAGCCAGAAATGAAAGGAGTTAAAATCGTGGCGAATGAGGGGAACTTTAGGCAGGAATAGTGTGATTAATCACATTGAAACTTGGCTAAGACAACAGTGAAAGGCACCATGTGATTTTTATCAGGCTCTGTTAGTGCTCCACTCATACTCCAGTGTGACAGGTAATGCAGCATCCCAGGAGAATGGGCTGGGATGACAGGATCAGTACTCAGCTAGGGAGGGAAAGGGCTGGGCAAAACTTCCAAAAGCAACAGCATGACTGAGATTGTTGGACACGACCCACTGCTGCCCATCAGGCCTCAGGCTGGTTCACTGGCTGAGAAGTTCTTGCTCCTTGTGACTGCAGAGACGAGTGGCTCTCAGCCCATAACCCAGGACACTGTTGTCACCTGCTGTTTGTGTCACACACTCCCCCTACCCCTTGACAGGAGGTGCTTTTGGCAGTTCCCACTGCTGAATTTGTGTTGCCTCAGGCAGACAAGACGAAGGCATGCCTGGTCTTTACCTGCAGCTTTATTCTCCCAGTTAGTCTCTGCACTTTGGACTGCCTACCTCTCCTCAATCCTACCATTCCCTTGGAAAGCTCCTCAGCTCAGCCACACCCTCCTGCACGTGCAGGATATGCACAAAATCAGAGGCAGGCACAGCTACATAACACTCACAAGGTGGTTTACTAATAATCCAGAAACTATGCTTGCCAAAGTGGGATTATCTGGAAAGCAAACTCTACTCAGTTGCAAGACGAACACTGCCTGGTCCCCAAGCCCAAAAAAGCCCAGATGACAATACTGGCAAGGCAGAGAAGGTCACTTAGAGCTCCTTTCCACTCCAGGATTTCAGGAAACGTGAATTTGCCAATCCTTTAATTCTAACAGCTCATTTCAGAGCAGATCATACAAGACTGTAGGACTCTAACAGGGACTGGGCACACTGTGTAAGTGCACCTCATTTTGCAAACGCTACTGAACCAGCTCTAGATGATGGCAGGAGGTGGAGGATGAGATTGTATAAGCTGAATGAAGCAAGTGCTCAGTCTTTTTTTCTGGGCACTGATAGCTCTAGTAATTATCAGTGCCAGCCCTCTCAGCCCTGTGCCTCTGCCCAGGCCACGTATCACTCTGAGGTGGCTTTTGTATCCTCATTGCAATGAAGGATTTTATCCTGCTAAGGTTTATTATTCTTTTATAGACTGAAGGGCTTCAGCCTAATCTTTCAACAAACAAAAGGAATCTTTCAACATTTCAGTGCTGTTGTAATTGGCTCCAAAAATAGCACCCTCAGAGCCACATTTCTCAAACTTCTCAAGTCCAAGGATTAACCTTTTTTTCAGATAAAAAAAAAATAATCCGAAGACCAACTTGTATATTTTTCATATATCAAATCAAATAAACAAAAGACTAATATTTGAAAGTTCACAGAATCAAAGTTAATCTATAGTAGCTCTTATTTCCTCCCATTTTGTTTGCATCCTTGCTTCTGTGGCTGTCGGAGGGGAGGAGAGAGGGTTTACTATTGTTTCATGAGCCACTGCTGGATGTTTTATTGACCACCAAAGGCCTGTGGATCAGAGTCTGAGAAACACTTTAGAGATAAACAGGCTCGTTACAGGCAGCCCTGACTCTGCTCTGCCTTCTGGCTCAAGCTGCAGAAGTTCTGACTTTAACTCCTTTACCCACTGAAGTTGCCACCCCTGGGGACCAGGTGCTCTGCACAGCTCCGTTCATGCCCCCCTGTCCTGGCAATTCTTGTGCATTCAGTGTATACCCCTGGATCCAGGCCACGCTCTGTGTACTCCACCCAGGTTATCTCCATGGCAAAGAACCATTGCCCCAGGGATGCAGAATAATGCCAGTTTGTCCTGTATCTTAAAAAAGACAGTATGTGTCCTCTCAGAGAGGATGAGTTGTCTCCACTGCTCCTCTGTTGTCGTCAACGGCTTTTCCTGCCAGGAAAACTGGCCTCAGTGCAGCCCTCTCTCCCAACTCCCCCAGCTGTCTCCGAATTTCGCAAGCAGACACCTTGGCACCTCCCATTGCCTTCGGACCGTGTTAGTGTTGGCCGCCCGGGACTGATGGCTTCCATCTTCTTTCTCCTTGTTTCATTAGCTGTCACGCTGGGGGTTTTGATCTTCCCTGGAGCCAAGCCCTGCCAAAAGATTTACTCCGCTGCAGTGCTCCGTTTCACATAATTGCCAGGGAAAGCTGCGCAGTTGGTAACGACCAAGGGAAGGGAACAGGCTGGATGCACTCAGGATATGGCGTTCACATATTGTACTTTCATAAAGGTATAGCAATGGAAACATTCCCTATTTTGATTGTCCCAAAGCCACAGGAAAAAGGGAATTAAGGGAATTGATATGTCTGGGATAGATGCCAGCTCTGATTTACTCACATTTTTACCCTGATGTGAAATACCTTGGTCAGAGATGGAAAACTTTTATAGAAGACGTGAACCAAATCAGGCCCTGCAAGTGCTGGTCTCCAGCTAAGAGCTGTCTCAGCTGGCACAGCCCAAGAAACACTAAAACAAAGGAACTGGGAATCAAATGGGCAACAGCAGCTCTGTGAGAAATTTCTTCCCTTCCTCCAGAGGGTTTGGACATACCCACACTTGCAGTCTGCCTTCTAACCACAAAGTGCCTAAGGTACCAGAACACCAGTGAGTTAGGATGTAGGGCTTGGCTTGGCTCCTGGAAAGAGGATGTGCTTTATCATCAAATCCCAGCATGATTTGGTGTGGAGAGGCACAGAGCGGTCAAGGCAGAGTGGTGAGCCCAAAACAGGGTTGCCTTTGGAAGCAGTATAAAAAGAAAATATCTTTGCTAACATAACCTCACCTTCCAGTTTAACCTCCATGTTCCCTCAGAGAGTGCAAACATGCCTGCACATATTTTAGGCATAGCAACCCACTTCGGAAGAGTCAGATGTAGTGTAAGTCCAATTAAAGCAAAATGGAATGAAAGTCCCAAATTATTTCAATGTGTCAGAGTGAGGAGTTTGCAAATCCACTGGTTATTGCAAAGTTGTTCTGGGAAAAATAATTTCTGTATAGATTCCATCTCACTTTGCTGAATTCCATGGGAGTTTTGCCATCAATGGGAGAAGGACCAACACATACAGGCAGACTTTAGCCACGCATTAATTGTGCTTCAAGCCAAATGCATTTGCTCTTATGCCCCAGTCCTGCAATGGATTTTCTATAGCTAGGTCTCTGTCCCTGCAGTGATGTCCACTGAACTCACACCAGCGAGATCTGACTGCAAGATCCCATCTGACTGTCCAGAAACCTCTAAGAACATATATCTGCATTAATTTTACTGAGATTAATATGAGTTCAATTGAGGGCAGAGTTTGATGAAAATATCTCATAACACATCAAGCTGGAGGGTAGATCAAAGCTGGTTTTTAGCTCACTAATAAACCAAAACAGAAATAGCACTGCAGAGGAAGCAGCTCATTTGTTTGTGATGGCTCCCTTCTTTGGGAAGGTGAGCACAGAAACCACAGAATTATTAGTGCTAAAATAACTAAAACAAAACGCACAATTAGGCAAGCCTTTAATGTAGGATATCATCCATAATTATTTCTCTTGTTAAAATTCCCAAACACCAAACAGTGGGATGAAGCATTCTGCCCACATCACTCACCTCCAACCTCTGTTCAGAACAGGGTCAATTAGTGAAGATCCTTTCTTGATTTATGAAGCACAGCAGGGGTTTTTTGCATGTATTTAAATATTTACAGAACCCCAGAATTCTGGTAGCATAAACTAGATTTACACCAACTCAGAGTGCCACCCAAAGATGGGGTTCCTCCAAGGGTGTGCTCTACAGTTGAGCTCATTGCTCTCCAAGGGTTTCTAACACACAGTTACCACAGGGCAGATAGTGGCATGTTTTTTTAAAACTTGCTAGAAAGACATTTGGTCCCTTAAATGTAATTTATGTCATTCAACTAGAAAGTTTGTTTTCAGTATAAAATACTTTTTAATCACCTCTGTTAAGTCTTTCTACTTCATCTCATCTGGTTCCTATGGAAATGGCAAATCTTCCAGAACTGCAAATTTTGTTTCCTAGCCAATATTAGGAAAACTGGTTTTTTTCCACTACCTTCTGAGATAGTATTTGCATATAAATACTGTTCAAGTCTCAGAAAATATGTTTGAAATTATTATTATTCATTACACCGAAGACCTCCCATGTTTCTGTTTCATTTTTCTCCCTTTCCACATAAGCAAACAAAAAATCTTCCATTTGCTTCTCCACTAATCCTCACCTCCTTTTTACATGCAGTTCTTCTGTACCTGAATTCTTGTTATAAGTAAAAAAAGAAACCCAAAGAGAAAAGAATCCATGGCTGGCTGGCAAGGTTATAAAAGTCTGTAGTTGGTCTGGTGAAGCAACTATTTTTAAAAACTCTCTATTCAAAGTTGAACAATACAAGTGTAAGTGCTCCAAAAGGCATAAAGAAGGTTGTCAGGTTCTTTGCCATGGTTTGGGAGCCTCAGAGCAGAAGAGCATGGATTGCATATCTTTTTCTGTATGACAAGCTATAGTGAGCTGAACCAAAAGTGATGGACTTCCTGAGCAGGGTGAACACCTCACACATTAATGTCAAGTAGAAGAGACAGGTAGAAGAGACCTGAGTGAGCCAGAACCACTGAGGCTACTCTGCTATTGCACTGCCCTTTTCACAAGCACACGCTGAGGGTACCTGCTCATGGATTCACTGAACATCCTGGGCTGGTTGCTGGTGCTTTTTTTCCACCTCTCTGCTGTCCCCCACTCGCATTTCAGGGCTCCACCTCACTGCTGTGCACGCACTTAGGATGGCACTTCCAGGTGTAAAACGAGCCTCAAACAAAGGGAGAGACAACACTATCCATTAGGCAGTGAAACAGCAGGGCAGGGCTACAGACCTGTCAATGCAAGTGCTGTGCAAGCCTCTGCTTCCAAGTCTTGTGAAAAACCATCCTTCCCCTCTACGTGGAAGGAGGACCCAGAAGGGGAGATGCAGCTGGAGAAATCTGTTCAGTTTGGGCAGGAAGGAAAACAGGAATGTGTTTGCTCTCCCCTATACAGATCACTTTTGAAAACCCCACTTGTTCTGACATTGTCCCAGGCAAGGAGCAGACAGAGCACAGCACCAGATGAGAGCCACATGCTGAGATCAAGTGGTGAAAATCTTTCCTGTGTCTTTGCATTGCTCCCGCAGGGCACCTGAATACCAGAGACTTGTGAGCAAAGAATTTACCTTCTCAGTATGATCACTCTTGAGATTAGCACAGAAACGGAACAATAATATACATTTTAGCTGTCCCCTTGTTACCTCCTCACATACCTTTGAGTTCTTCAGAATCTTCTCAGTCGTTGACAAGGAAGTTCTCCTTTAAAAGAACAGAAAAATATGTTTTGTTACTGTCTTCACCGGGTTGTGAGATATACAGAATTCCTAATAAGACCATCCCCTCTATCCCTATAAAGAAGCTATGAACAAGCCAAGAGCCTGTGTCTTTTCACCTGCTTCATGAGCTACATTTTGGAGATTTTCAGGACTTGTGCAGCTGGGAGATGGCTAAAACAGTGCTAAGGAGGGGCACAGATCTCTGGGTTTTGCAGCCGCAGCACCCACGGAAAGAAGCCCTGACATGGATGCTGACAGTCGTGGGTGAACCTTCTTTCAGAGGAAATGGAGATGTGCTGGGAACCTCCCAAGAGAGCAAAAGAATGCTTCCAGACAGTCAGGTGGAGCAGCCTGCTGGCTCCATCAACCTGACGGACTTGGCAGCCTCTCCTGCTCCGGCTGGCCAGGATCCTGGAGTCTGCAAAGCTGCAGGCAGAGTTACTGAATTATTGGGAGAAAACAGATACCTGCATAAGCTTATACACAGTCACACACTCACACACACACATATAACCACACACATACATTTATACATATCACGGAGTAAGCCTGCAGGATATATGAACTCCTGGCACGACTATGCCTTATCCTATAATGACTAAGCTGTCTCTGTTAGGCATATTAACTCTGCAGGAGAGCTCTGAGATCTTCCTGGACAAGATTTAAAGATGCATTTTTATTAGCTTTTGTAGAAGAAGCACTAACTAAAAGCTCCAGAAGCTTGCCCAACAACCTCACATTCCCTGGGTTCCTCTAAGCCTGAGTCCTCGAAGTCTTTATGTAGGAGAGGCCAAATCCCATTTCCAGCTCCAGTCTCGGCACCAGGCTCTCTTCAAGGCTCTCCACTTCTTCAGCCCAGAGCTGCTTACGTCAGCAGTAGTTGGCCAAGAGAAAAACAGAACAATACAGCCTTTATAGATTAACAATATTTCAATTTACTGTAAATTATGCAGTATACAACACAGCTCAGAGGAGTAATTTGTCATTCTTTCGGATCCTTGCTCTCCTTTCTCTTCTTTCTTCACCTCCCCCTTTTCACTTCTCCTCTCTTCCACGTCTATCTTTTTGCCTCCTTTTCTCTCTCCTTTCTGCATTTCCTCCCTTCCAACAGATCCCACTATTGTTCTGTTCCAATCTCTACCTCTGTGTTATCTGCTAAAATCACTGACAACAGAACATCTAAGTGGAGATGCATTCCAGTGTCCTGGAAAGGGATGCATCAAGCAAAGAGAGCAGGACCTGAGGGAATGGAGGACTGGGATATGCAAGAAGAGTTAGAGGCAGGAAAGACCTGGGATACATCCACTGGTATAGGCAAAGTAGAGAACTCACCCCCAGCAGTGGCTAATAGAATTGCACTTCTGCCTGGAACTGTCAGTCCAAGAAAAATTATATATCATAGTCGTAAGGAGAAAAGTAAATAGAAGTGTTTCAGCTTTGGAGTGTTGGATATTTGATCTTATCTGGAACGAGTGTGTGTGTCCATGTGTGCATACATCACTGTTTTTATTTTATTACAGAGTGCTGTTATGCAACTTCCCTTCCCATTTTGCATAAATCTTCCTTTTCAGACATGTGGTCACTGGTTTAGGGAATATTTACTGTGAAATGCCTCCGTTTTTGCAGACCCAACTTTTCTTGGTTTCATTCTCGGGACTACACGGCACAACCAGAGCCTTTGCCACAGATGTTCCAGACATTGCTTTTAAAAAAATTATCCTGACCAAAATTGGTGCTCTGGCCCACGTGAACTGCTAAACATCATCACAAAGCAGCAATTAGTCTGTAAGTTACTTACGATCTTTGCCTCCTCAAACCTTAATGTTTAGGTCACATGGAAAAGTGCACTTATGGACACAAAACCAGGTTGCCATATTTGTTCAAACTCATCTTTGGTCCTCTTCCAAAAGCCAACCTCCCAGCTGACATTTGAGGTGTTGCTCACCTTATTTGGATGCCTGCTCAACGAAGGAGAAATCCCTTCTCCACTGCAAGTACAGACCTTCCTCAATTCCCTCTAGAATTTAGGCCTCCAAAACTCAGGAGTCAAACTCCTCCAGTGCTGCAAAAGCCCAAGTTCTCCATGGACAGTCCATCTGCAACACAAAGGAGCTGCTTCTCCCAAGCCAGGACTCAGAAGATGCTGTGCAACCTAGCAAAACTCCACTGACCCAGCTAGTTCCTGTTCTAGCCACAAAGGAACTCTTTGCCTTGCTAAGTTCTTTTTCTCTCAAGGTCACCTGACAAACAAAAACACTTTCAGAGAAGAAAACTCCCTTGAGCTCATCCCTTCTCTTCTTGGGATGGATGCCAGCCCACGTTCCCCTCAGCTCCTTCACAGCCACACAGACAATAGTTCTTCACCCTTCATTATGCATAAAGACAAGCTTCCAGGTGCCAGATGAAAGCATGAACACACATGCACTTCCTAGTATTAAAGACATTCTGCAAAGCATGGAAAACCTTCAGGACAGTCAGGAGAGAGAGCAACAGGCAAGATGAAACACTCAGTCTGCATTCCCAAGGCCTTCAGTGCACTGAAAGCTCTGGAGCCTCTCCCTTTTCCTTGGGATCTGGCTGCCTGTGCTACAGGCCAGCTCTGACACAGTGCTACTGGGATCACGCTGCTGTGAAAAACAATGGCAAATACTGATGAGCAGCCTTTACAGGGCCCTTCCCCACTTCCCATGGGAGCTGGCTTTGAGCTTGGGCTCTTGGTCCTCTATGACCTATGCTCATCCACCTTGCTGATCCTCATCCTGGATGTGGGGGGAGAGGTGTTCCCTATTGTCCGTGGAATCAATCAGATCCAGGAGCTGGTGTCCACGCCCTTGCTGCAGTGCACTCCCCCTGCCTACTCAACACCAGGACAGGCAATTCAAGCACACTGGTTCCTATCACAAATGAGTGATGATCTTGTTCTTCAGGCCACCTTCTCAGGTTGGAACTGGCCCCAGGCACAACTGTTCATGACACATCTCCAGGACAGGAGAAAGCTGGAGATCATACTGCTGCCTTTTAAAAGACACAAACAGGGAAACGTGTCAAAGTAAAATCACAGGGAACTTAATTTCACCATCATTCTTCCTAAACTCACAGGGCTCTTTGTGCCAACACTGTATTTTGCATCATGTTTCCTTTCTTCACAGTTTTCTGTTCAGCATAAAGTGATATGAGAGCACAGAAACCCATCACTGGAGACAGTGAAAGCCTTCCTGGATCATCTGTTTCAGAGCAGGTCTCTATCTATCCCCCAGTTTTCACTTGCTGTAAAGTTACCCAGCCATATGTTTGCAATTAAAGTCTCAGTTCCTCACAAGCTCATGGCAAATAGTCTGCTTCACCTGGGTCACATCTCTAAAGGGAATTCCCCCAGACTGGATTTGCAGGCCATATTCGGTGGCAGGTCTGACACAGGTATTAGCCATAATGGAATCCATGTCAATTATGAGTTCATCCATTCGTTTTCCTATCCAGGCCTCCCACTCAAATTTCAGAGATCTCCTTCTAAAATGCAACTTGACCCATTTTGGAACAGAGAGAGTTCCTTAGTCACTCCATTTGAGACCAATTAGGCTGTTTGATTTGGGATCCTTTATCCCTCAGTGCTCTTAGCCTGTCTGTTCCAATAAATGTTGCAAAAAATCCCAGTGTCTGAAATCCCCACGTGCTTCATGGACCCTATTTCCTACCCAGTAACTGCACTCCTTTCACTGATCTGAGTCAATCACAGACTCTGGGGTTCCTTTGTCTGTACCAGCTCCATCTTCTTGAAATGCCCTTCAAATATATGCCCGTGGAGGCCATGAGGATGAGAAGGAATGACTGACTTGTAACGTTTTCTCCTGGCTCAAGAGCTTGGAGCAATCTCTTTTGCAGAGAACCCACGATGTGAACACTCTCTAAGAGCTCACTTTTAATCGACCTCCCTGATTTGCTTGAAATATTGATCAAATCCTAACTGCTTCCTTTCCAACAACCTGATGGATGGTCCACTCAGCCCATGGGTTTGGGGAGAATTCCAGCTTTCAAAACAAGGAAATCACAGATTTGCTGTGATTATTGGAGCTCAAAGCTTTTGTTTTATGTGTCCTTCCCAGATGTTCCCAGCCTCTCATGTCCCTGTAGACAAGTCAGTGGTGCAGATTCAAGGCTGAAAACGGAAACAAGGTTGCAGGTTGTGAGAAGACATCTACCTGCTTTAATTCAACAGTCTTTAGAAGTTCACCCCGTGTTCCAATCCAGAATAGCCTGCAAGGTTTGTGAAACCAGGGTGCAACCACAGTACAAAAATAATTTAAACCCAATATAATGTAGACCTTTGACTGAGGAATGAGCCTGAGCACATATTTAACTGTCATCACAAAGACGGCTTTCCTCATTAGGTGCTCAGATGAATTGTTAGAGGAGAAGGGCTGGAATTGGCTCTTCCCTCCTGAGCCTCTGGGAATGACCCTGAACTTTCTGTGAGGGAGGTGTGTTTCAGAATCCAAACTTGAACCTGACTCTGAAGTTGGCCACTCACCCCCTCTGCACACAGCAGACCCATCCCAGCTGAAGGCCTCCACGGCCTTGTGCTACACTGGGAGTTCAAAACCCAGATCTGGATTTTGCAGCCAGGGATCATCTCCGACTTTCCCGGCTTCAGAACCGCAGTTCCACTTGCTTTATGTTACTTGCCTGTTGGCTTTGTGGGAAGAAAAAAGTATTATTATTAAAAAACCCAACCAGTAACACTCCAAAAGACAGCAGTGCTGTCCCAACAACATTCCTCCTTGCGGGGCAAGGAAGAAGACAACTAAGCACAGCAGTACCCACATCCTTAGCCCTTTGGGCCTCACGGCATTTTCCTCCTCTTTTCTCTGCCTTTGTTTTGAGAGTTTTATTTCAATTTTTATCACTTTGGCTCGTGCTGCCTGAGAGGCAGGGACCTCCTCGGTGTCGTTGAAGTGTTTACTCAAGACTGGAGCACACCCAAGAGGT